AAAGGGAGAAAGAGAAAAAGGAAAACGGGGGAGGGGGTAGGGGAAGTGCAACCGACCCTCGTTTGGTTGCTCACCTCTGTATGGCGGCCTCGAGTGACCTGGGCAAGCCTGCGGCAACCGATAATGGTTCACCGACCGCGGAGGTCATAGAACCGCCCTCGGGTTTCGGAGCGTTCGGGTCTTTGGGATTGGCCGCGATTTCGAGCTCGATGTCATCGTCCTCGTAGAATTCGGGCAACGGTCGCCGTTTCGGTCGTTTCAGGGTATTGAGCAACTGTTGAATCTTGGCCGAGACTTTCCAGCGGCCAGTAGTCCCGGTATTGTTCTGATCCTCGACGACATGGTAACGATTGACTCGATCGGCGCCCGGTCGCCTGGTCGACTGCTGTGCAGCCGGTGTGTTGCTGGTGTGCGTCACGTCCGGGGGCTGGATGTTGCAGTACGCATGGGGCGTGTATTCCGCGATGTCGGTGATGTCCGCACCAGGAGGTCTCCTAGCCGGTGGTCTCGGAGGCGGAGGCGTGTCTCGCGCGGAACCGGTGCTGCTGGTATCCGACAGTCCTGTGCCTAAAATTCCCCCATGGATCACTCGCAGAAGCACCAGCAAACTCTCCTCTCTAGCGTTATTTCTCAATGGCACTAAACAAGCTATACAGCGAGCCTGTTGTCTCGCCGAGCTCGGTCCGAGTGTATCTCGACAACGGATTTGCATTAACCGTACGGAATCCAAGCGGCTCCGTTCAATGGAAAAGTCGCATAACCAGTTCCATCATTTGCCGAGTGCAAATAGATAACCGATCGAGCGAGCCAGCTAGCCGAACAAACGTGCGTAATTTATCGTGCCACGAGGGGGAGGAGACCGGGAGAAACAATGATATTCGAGGATATATACCCGTTGGACCACCAGCACCGGGACTCTCTTCGGTCACCACGCTGTCTTCGTCGCTACTCGATTCCCCGCTGTCGCGACGCTCCCGGTCGGGACTCCTAGCCATCACGGAGGTTCTCTTCGACGGCATCGGCAACGATGGCTTCGGACGACCCTGCATCGCTGCCAAAGCTTGTTGCACCGCCTCTTGGCGCACCTCTGTGTATTCAGAGTCGAATAATCAACCGGACAAGCTCTCTATTTTTCATCGTACATCGACGACGATTAACGCTATAAAGAAGACACGCGAAAAAATCTCGCAACGCTCAACACCTTAGCCTAAGTCGTATGCGGCAAAGCTTTTACGCAATGCGTCTAGAATTCGTATCTTTATGTCTTTATGTCTTTATGTCTTTATATCGTGTATATGTAACTCCGCGTGCGTTGTTTCGATCCTCAGCGACTCGCCGTGCTCCTGCGGCATAGATACTTCATTTATCTCGGGTGCGTCTAAAATTCTCAAGCTCGTTTCACGGTGCAAGAATCCGGCAAATTTTAAGGTTACACATCGAGGCTTCCGTGGCTTCTTCGTCCAGCAATTTATCCAGAATTTTTCCACAAACCGGCGTATCGAATTATCTTATTTCCACCGCTACACGCGTGTGCACTCTCACGTGCAATCGCGCAACTGCTCCACGTAACAAACTGCGTCCCGATGTTACACGATGTCGTAATAACGATAGAAATATACCTCGACCGGAAATGCAACGACTCGCTGACCGAATCCACTCGTCTCTCCGTTACCACTACTTTGCTCTACATTCCGATCAATTTTACGCGTCTCTCTCCTTTTCCATCCTCTTTCCAATATCCTTTCCCGCTACCTGAATTATTCCACCGCGATGCTACTATACAATCAACCAGAGAGAGAGAAAAAAAAAAGAAAAAAACAGAAAAAAGAAATGGGAAAAAAATTAAAAAAAAAAAAAAAAGAAAAAAAGAAAAGAAAATCTAGTTATCGGAAAAACGACCGGAATCGTTTGAAAATCCCACGAAATACGAAATGCGAAAAGCGAGGGTCCGGAGCGAATATCGAGCCTTTGGATTTTCCCATTCGCCAGCGTATTTGCGTGTAACCGCGCTGAGACGTTGCTCGGATGGGCAACGACTTATCTTCGGCGCTGCACGCTCGTCCTCTTCGAGCGGTAACGGTGCACCAGCTGCGAGATTGCCCGTGTGCCGGTCAAGCATCGCTCTGCCTCTGTATAAATGAAGTTTCTATACGGACTTTTACGCACGGAGAACCGTTGGTCGGTTTTCGTTCCGTTCCGACGAACACCGCCGATATACCAGCTCCGACTCGCGCGACCGTCCTCTTCTTCGATCGTGTCTACTCGTCCACGTCCCACGATAACGCCGATAACTCGCCGAGGATATATCCGTTACCGATCGCACCGCGTGCCGAACAAAGACACGTCTGTCGCATATACTTGCCCGCGCGATCGCGAGATTCGAGGGAACACAGACTGGTTCCCTCGCGAGTTTCACGATTTGCTTAAAAGTAATTGCACGCATACGCGTTCAGACGCAGGAAATGCTTTATCAGAGCTGAGACCACTCGCACCGAAAGCGCATTCCTTGCACTCGTAAAGCATATTTCCGTGTACCGAGCTAATCGAGCTTAATGCAGTACGATTATTCACGCGCAGATTGCGATTTTCAAGCGTGTCTAGCGGATTCTAGGCCGAGATTCGATAAATGCTTGTCGCAGTGCCGTTTGCTATAGCGTGATTAACACCACGCAGCGACAGCATCCTCGATCGATGCAACCGATACACACTAACCCGAGAGATCGGATCTTTCAATGATCGACCTTCGTTTCAACGACTTTTGTACTTTCTTCCATTTTCCAAAATTGATACGGTGAATCGAGAGAATTTAGATTTCAAGGAGATTTAGAATTATCGCGAAGCGTGACGCGATACTGCGCGAAAATGGCAGCGCAGAGTTTCGTTGATCGAGAATCCGTCGCTTCTAGTTTCTACGGTTGCTGGATTAACCCTTGCGACGACGGCCTCGTTGCTAATTCCTCCATAAAATTTGAATATCTTCGAGTGGTCGCCCGACGAGAGCTTGGCTGTGTAGAATACTTAAAGGCCTCCCGGTGTACAAGCACGAAACGAGCACGAAACGAGCACGGAACGAGCACGAAAGCGGCCTTATCTCCGAAAAGGGAGGATAATGCCAATTTCCTTTTCTCGAATTTCAATCCTTTTATAGAGACATAAAAAGCGACGACGGAGAAACGAAAAAGAACGAAAAAGAGGCATGACGAGGGGCACCACGTTTACGATTGATCGAGAGTACAGATACAAGGGGGAGAAACGATATCGAGGGAAAACGAAGACACGGGAAAACAGCGAGTAGGATGAAGCCGGTTTGCGGGGAACGAGCATCGAGGAAAGGAGAATCGCGGTCCGTTTGCGACTGTAATTTCGATAAATAAACGGTAATGCATGTAAAACCGCCGTCGTCCGAGGGTTAAGGACCCGTTAACGTTTCTTTTCGTCGCTTTGGACCATTTAATCGTCCAGCTGTGATGTACTCACCGGAATGATAGCGGCTCTCATTGCGCGTGAGTCTGCGATTGCCGCGTCTCGCAGCCGCCGAGTTCGAATTCCCGGTGTTTCCGGTGGAGCCGCCAGATCCCGGGGGACTGGCGATCCCGCCAGGTACTAGCCGGCCTCCTGCATGCAACACAACAACAACAACGCCACATAGACAAAGAAAGGAGATCTACCAGGATCGACAGGGAACGCTACGTCTCTATCGGGCTTCAAGGGGGGCTTCTAGGGGGCTTCTAGGGGTCTCTATCTGGCTGTTGGGCGTTTCTCTACCACCGAACCCAAAGAAAGGACACTGATCGCGAAATCTTGCTACCCTTCTTTCTCTTTCTAAGGTCGGTGCATCTATACAGGGTCGAGCTGTTCGGACTGTTCGAGACGAATGGACCGTTCTCTAGCTTCTATCTATTCTACAGCTTATCTCCGTGACGGATGCCAATCTGTTTCGCTTTCCTATGAAAATCGTCTCATTCGTCTCGACGCTGATCCACGGATTTCTCCTACAAACTGGATGTGATTCGGCGGACGGGGTTGGAAGGGGTTGAAGAGAATCGTTGCTTGGGCTGGGTCTAAACGGCGCCGTCGACGATCGGTCGTTCCACCTTCGGAAGCTGCGACGACGATTTCACTTTTATCGATTGTTCGCAGCTCTGCAGTGGCGCAGGGATGTCGGAAGAGGAGGTGGGCTGTGACGCGATTCAATCTCGGGACAACCTCCACGTAACCTGAACTCCAGCAGCTTTCGAAGACGCTCGGAATGCAACGCGACTCCTCGGTGCAACTAACCACCAGACCAACGTGTTTCGCGCTTTTATCCTCCACGACTATGCAGTAACGCTGCTCCTTCCATTTCGCCTGACTTCTATGAATCTTTCGACGTTCCAACCTTTGCCACTGACACCCGGACTGATCGCGTGCAATTTCCTCGGTCCGTTCTTCGCGGACGTTCGTTATTCCAGCCAACTATTCTCTTCCCAACGACGAAACACATTGGACGAGATTACGTAAAGGACTGCCGTGCTCACCCACTCCCTGTTCCCTGCTCTGGCCTCTGCCGAAACAGAAGTTACTGTTATCGCGAATTGCACGGACCTCGAAGACGTTGGCAATAAAGACCGAGAAACGGAGAGAATATTTTATTGCGATTTAACCGTCCCTCTAGACACTCCGTTTCGTCTCTCTTTGGCAGCAGCGTTCATTATTCGCAACGATCCCGCAGAAGTGGCCGCGCGGCAGCTCCAAGTCGCAAAAGGCTTAACGATCAGCGACTTTTCCCCATAATTCCGTCCTCTAGAATCTCCTTCGCGCGTGTCTCGCGGTGCATTTTGAAGACTGGCTGCCAGAAATCATCGCCAGATTTAGGGGAAAAAATAAATAAAAAAAAAGATACCGAAAAAGATGAAAAACAAAGTTGTCCAACATAAAAAGGAGGAAGATACAAGTAACGGAAGAGTAAATGTCCCGTGAGCCATCCTTGAAACGTTATCACGAACTTCCGAGATTATCATCACTGTCTGGATACGCGGAAACGAGGTTTCGCGATTCGTGTACGTCAGAGGTCGGATTGTCGATGCTTGGGTCGGCTAAATAGCCGGTAGGTAAAAATGCAGATGTTGCGGACAGATCCGCGAGTGTGTCGAGCCGAGTCGCAAGAATGCCGACGGATGGCTGGCTGCGATCTCGAGTCACCCGAAGGTGGAACAACCGGTCTCGGCTAAGTCGAATTACAAAGGTATCTAAGGTGTAAAAGCATCTCTGCTCGAATCGGTACGCACGAGGGATTACAAGCAAGCGAGCTACATCAAAGAAAAACATGATAACCTCTTCAAGCCCTATGCACCTTTCGATCGTTCAACTGTTCTTTCTTCCTCCCTCTCTCTCCTCGATTATACGGATCGATTGGTTTTACCGTTCCTTAAATTGTTGAAAATCGTTAAACTCGATTACGGATCGGTCAGACAGGTAGAAAAACGTGACTTTGCAGCAGCGATCCAAGGGAACCTCTTTTCTCGCTGACTTCTGATGCTTGGATTATTACTAGAATTGTTCTACATCGCGAAAATTAATCATGGCGGATAGTTGTGACACCGTGCAAGTTACATAGATCGGTAAAAGAAGACGCGTAAAGTTAAAGCTGATGTAATAAACATAGGACATGAAGAGGTTGAGTCACACGAAGATACGTCTGTGATCACTACTGATGAGAATGATGGTTTACGGATTACTGAGATTAATTACGGATGAATCGTGAAACGTGAGATGATGATGGCTCGAGCTACGATTCGATCCCGCGATCCTCCGCGATTCGTTTTCTGCGTCGCGGATGGATCGTCGCGGAATGAAATCGAAATCATCGATGAGAGAAACAAAAAGGAAAAATAAAAGTAGAAAATAAAAGAAGAAAGCAAATGTAATCGATTACGTGAGAACGGAGTAACGGGATTGACTAAACGTATTCGTCGTTCGATCGGTAAAGCAGAATTAGACTGTTACTGTACATGATATCTACGTGCGTGGATAGAGATCTAAACCGTGCACACTCGCAACAGATCATCAGCGATTGTGTTACGAAACAACACGGATTCGCCGAAGGAAAGATCTGTTTCGCTATTTACACGTGCCGTTGCGCGATATTAATGCTGTTAATTCGTTAACAGTGGACGATCGAATGCTTTGGAAGAAGGGTCTAACCTCTAAAATCGTATTTCGAGATATTCCACGTGGAAACTTTTTCTCCGAGATTATGATACGGATAAAAAGTCCGTGCAAACGATGTTGCATAAACTTTATCAGTGATATAGGATAAGGTATCGATATAGAATATAGAAAATTGCGTGAAGATGGGTATTTCGAGAAATGCCCTTCTTCCAAAGAGCTCTCGAATTTCGTATGTACAATCGACGGCATGAAAATCTGACTTCCAATTAATGGATTCCGATTAATCCACGGTACTCGAACTTTTCTATAGTACAGGAGGTTAAAAATCAATATCAAAAACGCATTTTCGGCACCGGTAATCGTTATAGATGGACCATCGAATAAAATAAGAGTGGAATGGTAAAATAGAATAGTCGCGAAACAGCGACACGACGTCATTGTTAAAACGCATAACAGATGGCGCTGCAACATTCAAGCGACACGGCGTCGCAGAGGGTTAAAGACGTGGCAACGTTTTATTCGAGTTCTCGGAGTCGTCGCGTTAGAAATTGGCCGAAAACGAAGGGCGTGACGGTTAATTTAATCGCATTCCAGACGAAAGGATTTTTCTACGATCGTAACGGCCCGACGTAGAGGGATCGGATTCGCGGAAAAATTTGCCAACGAATCGTCGAAGCGCAGCCAGTGCCATGAAGTGCGAAGCCCGAGGGGCTCGTCGCTTAATTAAGACGAGGACCAACGGCATCGCAATTATCCAACGAGTGCTCGACAGCCTGTCAGCTATTCAGGGATCCCTGTCTGATGCTTGCGTTCCTCATAAATTTTTTTCCGCGTATAAAGACAACTCTTTGGAGGATATCGCGATTCTTGTACGTTGACGAACCCTATTCTCCTCGTTCCTTTACGGACCGACAATGCCGCTTTACCGAGCCCCCTGCAAAGTTACGTCAAAGAGTTTACTTTGCGTTAACCGTGAACAACGTTCCGCTATAAAAAAAAAAAAAAAAAAAAGAAAGAGAAAATAAATACGTTGATAAACACGAAGTTTAATACGTTAAATTAGCCACGTAAAGGCGTGTTATCTCGAGAACGGATCGGTGACGTGTTAACTGGAAGTCAGATTTTGATCTTCTACTTTGTTATTCGCCATTTTATAACGCGATCTTTACATTCGCGACAGTGAAATCGGACAAAGGACAAACGAGTCGGTTCAAACGGAAACCCGAGGGGAAACGACGAAACTAACAACGCAATTTTCGTCGTGTCTAATAAAAGAACAAACGGACAAACAAATAAGAGGAAAAAGGGAAAAAAAAGAAAAAAAAAATAGAATCGGCATGAAGAGAAAACTACATGAACAGTCAAAAATGCACACTGGTTCGTGGAACGTAACAACATCGGATGTCTAATGAAAATAATGTTTCCTACCGAAACGACAATCCACACATGACTAACAATGTCGTATCTCTAATGACTAAATGCTGGTCGGCGAAGTAGGTAGATCCCGCATGAGCCGCAGAGCTAAACTCTAATTTTCTAGGCGTGATACGTGGTAAAGAATAGAAATATATATGTTATCTATATATGTATGTATATACGTTGAATCGTGCAATGGTTCGCGCTACCTGAATGATAGCGCTTCTCGTTGTGCGTGACACGGCGTTGCGTGCGGCGTGCACGTGGCTGTGGTCGGCCACCGACACCGATGCCGACGCCGACGCCAACGCCCCCACCGACACCACCACCACCACCACCACCGCTTCCATAACCCGTTCTCTCGACCCCTCCGATACCGAGGACGCCGACACCTCCTCCATCCTTTCCAGCCCCTGTGTGCCACACACGTGCATATGCAAAAGCCACCCTCCAGACTCTTCTCTCGTTCCGATTCTCAAACAAGGGGGGAAACTCGCCGGCTAGTTTTTCGCCTCTCCCTTCCACCCCCACCCCCCTCGCGCTTTTTCTCCACCACCCCTCTCTCTCACTCCCCCTCCTACACCACCGTTGCCACCGGTTAGACGCATATACACCTACTATACGTCTCGTTCGAGCGGTTTTAATCATTAAAAATAACTCGTCGCCACCGTGGGCCAGAAATTCACGGTTTCTCCGCGCCGCACGCGTAAGTCGAACGCGTTTCGAAGTTTACGGTTACGGTCATGGTTTCTTCGATTATGATTCGACGCTATCGGGATAGAGGCAACGTGCTTGCGCGTAAGTCACGCTCCATGGAATTTAATAACGTTCGAGCGGACCGTGACAATATCGTAACCACCGCTGTAAATCGAGCTTGGATCGTTCACTGCCGTGTACCATATTTTTCTCTTTAATAGAATCACGCCCGTCGATAACTATCGTCGTGTAACCGAGGAATTTCGATCATTTCCAACGATCGTTCCTGTCAATTGTCGCGTAGGTCGGTACTGTGCCTGTCGACTTTATCCACTGTACGGGAGGAAGATTAATCGAGTGTCGTTCTTCTAACGCGTCGGATATTCTATTTACATGGAATACGACACGGGGACCCGTACGCCTTTGACCAGGTCGTATTGTCGGCAGGTATTCAAAAACGACAACGAAACAATGTTGTAACCGATGAAGCGGTGAATACAATGGAATGACAGGATAATCATTGGTTATACGTAATATGTCCTCAGGCAGAAGCTACCTTTTGTTCACGGTTACGTGTTCCTGGGATAGTCGTGGATCAAAAGCGACGATAAATCGTTGGTGGGGGAAACGAATGGCAAGTCGGAGATACCTGTTTTCAGACGTATAAATTTCAAAACGAGTTTTACCCTTCGTGTATGCATATTTGTAATATCTAAGCTCATTCTCCAAGACTTCCGCTCATTAATTAAATACCGCGTGTAGATACACGTAAATTCTTCGATTTTCTAACTTTTTCTAACTTTTTCTAATTTCCAACTTTTTAAATTTTTTAATTTTCTAATTTTTCATTTCCCAAATACTTGGATTTTCAAATTCATCAATTTTTCAATTCCCAAATACTTGGATTTTCAAATTCTTCAATTTTCTAATTTCCATATTAAAAATTTTTCAAATTTTCGAATTCAAAAATTGGCGAATACTCAAATTTTCGTATTAAAATATTCGTAGATACTCTAGTCTCGAAATTTGTAAGTTTCGAACGATTGTACTTGAATATTCCAGCAAGGCTATAAAATTGAAACGCTTCAAATTTCCTAGCGCGTTTAAATCCTATAACGGTTCGGATTTTGGTTCTTTCCTGTTACTTCACACTCGCTATTTTTCCATTCGGAACAACGCAACAGGAGAAACACGCGTGACGACCATTAGCGGGCTAACAGCGCAGCTCGTGCCGCGGCGCGCAATATCTGCTGTGTACACATGTACCTCATATGCGGTTAAAAATGAACAACCAGCTTCTGAAAACGATTCATAATATTTACACGATCGTAGAATCTATGACCCCGTGCTATTAACAATTCCATTCCACCGTGGTATTTCATTTCTCCAAGGTCACTATCGATCACCAATTACCACCACGAATGCTAAAGCGATAATCGAACAGCTCTCTCTCAACGCGAATAATTTGTTGCATCGGAATAAGACCTGGGGAACGATCCGCAACGCGCAAGGAACTCGCTGCGCAGAGTTTACCACTGGTACAATGAAACAGGCACGGTTCGAAGGTTCGCGATAAATGCAATGGGTTATAGGCAGCGGCGTGCATCGTCGAGATTGTAATCAACATACAAAAAAAAGAAAAAAAAAATGTGCGTGAGCACACGGGTGCGCATTCAACGAATTTCCGCGTGAAAATGATCGGAAAACCGCGAATGAGACGTGACTCGAAGCCGAGAAAATTGTCTTTTGCTCGGCGTCGCGTATGCGACAATAGCAGATGTACGTCGCGTATAACGAGCGGATAACGCGGAAGTGGCTCTTCCGCATGCAGGTACAGTTAAACAGTATGTACATTGCAACCGATTGCAGCGGTTCGACCGATTGCAGCTGCAGCCGAAGGCGCGACCGAGCTTAACCGTTGCGCGCCTTTCAATATCCCTGGGAAAACGCGAAAATTCCACCGGATTTCCGTTCCAGACCCTCGTTATTTTCTGTATTATATCGGTGGTAACAGAGAAGAAATAATAATGAAATATAAATAGACGAATGGATCGGTATTAATAACACATCGTTGACGGGAAAATTCGGATTACTCGTTTGTTCATCCTTTGCACTCGAGTCGCCATTTGTTTCAATATCTCGAAGCTTAACCTTTTAAGTACGGTACGCCATTATGGTAGCTTCCGCGGATATGATTTTCAACGGTATTATATGTCTTTTGCTCTATTTCTAATTTCTTTCGCCTAAACCACATTTTTCGTTGTATTCGAAAAACGTTTAAAAAAAAAAAAAAATGATATAATTTGAATGGCGTCAGTGAAATGCAAAGGATTAATAAAGAGTTTACGTTGCGTCGAACAGTCACTATTTCATAGCATGTACACGGTCAGCAATGTGTTAAAGTTGAAGAAGTCTTTGGACAAAGGTATTTACTTGAGATAATCTGTTTTCCTAATTATCGTAATTATTCCACAATTACACAGACTTTGTACAGGTTCTTTGTTAACGTCATGCGACACGATAACTAGAATTTATGTTTGCCAATAATATCGGTGATAAAATTAATTTTTTCTCGGTAACTATTAAAAAGTCAGCTTCGAGAGCCATTAAGAGTCAAAGCAATAAATTAACCAGCCTTACACGCGAGATGCCGTACAATAATAACGACACGCTATTTCTATAACTCGTTACCATCTTTACTATACGGACTATATTTAATTTACTATCTTTAATCTTTACCATCGAATAAATAAATAAATATCGCGGGTTTCCAAAAAGTATGGAGGAAACCTTCTTCCAAAGAACTTCTCAGTAGCTTCGTAAATTCGCGGAAAAATCACTCCCCGTGCTTCATTTCGACTACTCTGACGTTGCACGATGGCCCGGCTATGGAAGAGCTTGCGATCCCCATGAAAATAAACACGTCAAGCAAGAGTGAGTGCACCGGTGGCGAAAAATAGGTAAAGTCGGCGCGGTAACTGCGAGTCGTGGAATTGCGTAAACGCAGGAGCGTAGTCGGGAAAGCGATACGGTGGTTAGATCGGAGGAAAAATGTTTGGCACGTTGAACGAGTACGAGGAGACCCTGAGCACGCGATAAGGAGGTTGCGCAACGGTGAAGAAAAACGGACGAAACGGAAGGTGACGGATGGAAAACGGTGGCCGGAGCGAAGAATACGCGGCCATGTCGGTTCTTCCTTCTATTCCCATTACGATTGCACGTGCCGGCATTGTGCGCGCGGAAAGCAATGCCCGTGTCTCTTGAGAATCGGAACGTGATTAATATTGCGAACGACCAGAGAGAGAATGAGAGACTGTCTGGATGTGGCGCAATAGCGCGAGATTATCGCGCGAGCTGACACGAACCACGAGGACGAGAAGCTCTTGGACGAGTGTACGCGAGGAATCGGCGAAACGGAAGAGGAGGACGCCACGGTGACATTCTTTCGACGGCCATTTTCTCGCGGCGCCTCGGACGTCCAGGCCGAGGAGAAAACTCGCTTTCTTTTCGAAAACCTGCCATTCTCCGCGGATCATTGGACGATTTTCTTTCGAGCCGCTGTAACGTGTTGCCTTTTCACGCCGCTTTACACCTCCCTCGATACGAAGCGGATACCGGGGCGCGTACACGCGGCCAAACTATCGGAGCGTGTCTCATCGATGAACCACGCAGCGAGAAGGCGAGACAAAATCGAATGGTTGCCGGCTCGCGATCGTTAAACGAATCGATAAACGCAATGGACGATAAATCACGGGTAGTTGTCCATGGTGAAAACAAAATGTCGGGGAACTCGGACTAGGAAACGGCGGGTAAATTCGAAGAATCTCGCCGCGAGCTTCACGTCCACGCGTGCTGTTTGGTAAGAATGAAATGACGATGAGCATGACTCGTCTGCTAAGATTTCTTGCGAGCAAAAGAAAAGTCACCACTCACCCAGCTGTTTCGAGGCATACTGCTGAAGTAGACGTGTCCGTTTCTTTTCGTAGCCCTTTTGCGTAATGTCCCCTGGAACAGTGAGATAAAACACGCAGCGATTAATACATAACTTAGCTGGGTAGGTGATTCCACGGGATCGCCTATGAACGTTACGTGTATTACGCAAGGAGAATTTGAAACGGCAGTCGATGGTCGAGTTAACGACTTTCGATTCGATTTGCAATTAATATCCCGTGGGCTGGGCGATCGGCAACGATATTCAAAGATGGAGCGCGTTCGCTCGTTCCATTCGCTCGTGTCGTTCCAGCGCGCAATTACCGATCGCGTGTTCTCGAAAATAGGTAAATAAGAGGATGGAAGATTGCGCGTCGAATCAGCCTGCCCTCGAACGAATGGCTAAATAAGAGAGATCAATTTCTCAATGCTCGTTCCATCGAATCGATTTCCATCGAGACCGAAAAAGGACGTATTTCGATAGCACCACGCGCGATCTCGTTTGGGGTAAATTTCTTCGCAGCACGGAACCCGTGGAATTTCGAGGACGATCGGTGAACGCGTCCAGCTGTTCGTGCGAACGGTAGAAATTGCCTGGACAATTTCGCGGGGACGAGTTGCGAACGGAGACACCTGGCTGAAAGCGATCTCGCCAAACGCGACCAATGAAATTTGCCGAGAAAAGCAATTCCCGAGGCGCCTCGAATACGCAAATTTCGCAGACCTGTTCTAGAACAACCACGTTCTTCGATTCACGGGGTGCCCGTTCTATGGCGCAACACCGTAACCACCTCGTCTCAGGCTAATTATTTCAAACTCTAGGTTATTCCTCTGAAACTTGCAGTTTCTCAACGAGAGCCACATGGCCACCCAGGGTGGCCGGCACCTAGTATTTCTCGCCATTTCGTACGAGAATCTCGTTTATTTGTTTCGACTAATTTTATTTTACAGGTATAAACAGTTGGCTGTGAATATATATACACAGGGACGTATGTATACACGCGTGTGCGTGGACGTGAAACGCTTTCGCGTTGTCCGAATAATTGACGAAGAAAACGATAGGGATTCGAGCTTTGGGGGCTACGATGGGGATAGGG